AGTCCCTTCTTTGGGTTCTTGGTGGATGCCTGGCCTTTCTGATCCAGGATCCTGTCCCACGAACAGCCAGCAAGCTGCTCCTTAGGAAGGCTGTACAAGCCACCTGGGGCAAGGTGAGCAAGCTAGCTTTCTAACATTTCATTGTAACCAATTCTGCAGAAAATGAAATAAGCTAAGCCAGAGTTGTGCTGCTGTAAAAGCAAGCCGTGGGTCAGGCCTGGGAGGTAATCCTTACACTCTACTTTTTGCTGATAGGTCTAGACCAAAAAGACTTGGACAAGTTGGAGAAAGTCCAGAAAAATGCCAGTAGGATTATTAGAGATCCCATATAAGGATTTAGGGAAACAAGCTCAAAGACCAGGGAAACGTAACAGGAGGAAAGACTATGGAGAAAGGTGATAACAAAAATATAAATACTTGTCCTGAAACAATAACAACCTGCAATCTGGTACTACATTTTATATATATATACATATATATAGTCTTGAAGGGCAACAAAGGAGACACCACACTTGAGAAAAGCTTTCTACAGCTGAGATTAATGACAGGCAAGAATAAGTTGCATTTCAGTTATGGCACTGAAACCTCTTTCAGTGGAGGATTTCATGGCATGTTACTCCAACATCTGTCAGGAGTGACATATATAGGTGAGATGCTCTGGGAAAGGAATGTAATCCATTACATTTGTTCTCTTTGTATCTTTCTCCTCCAATTTCTGTGACACAATAATTTGAAAAGCTGGAGAATGACTTAAACTCTGAAACCTACACTATAACTTTTATAGGCATTTGGTTTTGCAGAACTTACATCCCTAATTGGTCAAATTATTTCCTGAATCCTGCTCCCATAGTCTCTGAAAAACCATATTCAGATTTAGCACAAGCTCACATCAAGCTTATCCACATAGATAATATTGTATTGTATCTATCTATCTTGTGGCTTGGTTTGAATTTGGCCCAAAAAAAAAAGCGCTTCTTTTTATAAAAATGCAGTACTTTCCTGAGAACCAGAACACTGATATAAATCCCAACACTAAAGCATTTCCTTTTTAATGGACATTAAATCTAGATTTAGGCTGCTTCAGCGCCTGCTTTTGAGAAAGTGGAACCGCTGTTGAGCTAATTAGTGAAAAATCCATGAATCACTCTGGAAGCAAATTTTCCTCCAAAATGCCTAAGAAAAGCTCCAAGACTGATTTATGAAAGACATTTTAAACAGAAGATCAGGGTTGCATTTGTTTAGTCTCCTTGAAATCTTCTTATGGCACAAAACCCCCAAAAGGTTCTGTAGGTTCTATGGCAATCTTCCTGGACATATTCAAAATCCAGTTTGGAATAATCCCGGGTTATTCAGGAATAATCCCAGGCAGCAGGGGCAGAGCACAGGGACGTTTGCCATGGCTTTGTCACCTTCTGTCCTGCCCCAGCACAGCTCAGCCTCCCAGCAGTTGCTCCAGCCCTCTCCTTCCACCTGGGAACACATTCCCTCCCTCTGACCGCTGGCACAATCCCAGTTTTGTCCCAAGCCAAACCTCCACCAGGCTGACGAGGAGAGCCCCTCACACTCAGCAGAGGCAGGGTCAGACTTTGCAGCATCACCAGGGCAGCACGATGGAGGAAAACCTCACCCTGAAAATGTCTCAAAATCAGCACCCTCATGCACTCCCGTTTTTTGTACGCTGCAGGTAAAATGAGAGCTGAAAAAAACAACCTCAGAACAGAAAACTAATCGTGTTAAACAACAGTTATAAAACTTTGATTTCACTGCTTGCACAAGTGCTGTGATACTATCTTACATATTGTCAGAGCACGTCAGCGAAAATAACATGAGAAACTGTTTCTCAAGCCCTCAAGTTAATCCTTGCTCGCTGTTTACAGGATGTTGGAAGAGTGGAACTCCCCCTGTCATTGTTTCATCCTCTGTCTTGCCAGCACTGAGGTCTGGTGAGTTTTCCTCAGTCCCTCCCAGAGCTGTGCAGTTGTGCTGACATTTTAGGTCCTACAGCACTGATTGAGCCTCTGCCTCCAGTGAAATTTGGGGCTGAAAAAGATCTCTCTCCTTTCAGTGCTGGTAAAGGACATTTATTTAGGCAAGGCTATTACAACATAATATTTGGTAATCTACTTTCAGCAGAGTTTCTCAGAACCCATAGTCATACAAGACCATCAATTAAAAAGATGAATTTCCAAATTTATGCATAGAATTGACCAGCATCATTACAGGCTTGGCTCAGGAGAGAGTTGTGACATGGAAGTTGATCATCCTCTATGACGACACAGGCCAAAAAGAACTCTGTGAGTGTAACAGATAACATCTGCCCATTAGCCGAAACTTGTCAGTGGGCTTGTGAAATGAATTTCTTTCATGCCAAGCGTGCCTGTTTCACATACATCTGTAAAGATCTCTCTCTTTTCCCTAGTCCACCACCAAATGCAAGGAGCAAAATCTTTACCCATCTGTCCATAAAGCTGTTTTCCTGCACTTTATAAATCATGTCATGATTTCACTGAACAAGAGACATTACTATAGGAATGGAAAACACTTTAACCTGATCAAGGTTTACCTTGTTTTCCAGCTACAATGTCAACTCTGAAGAATAAGAAAACCAAAGCCTGTTTCAAAGTTGCAGCTAAGTACAAGTTTGTGAGATTTTTAATGGAACTTGGAAAAAACTTATTTTTTCTTCCCAGAGTTATCATCAAGATCTTAACATTGCCACTCAGAGAACAGCCACACCTGGCAGCGTATTTCTTCAAAAGTCAAAGCTATATATAAGTATGTGCAGTCAAAGAATACAAAGACAAATAATTGCTTTCTGATTTTCCTGAGAAGACAGGGACACAATCATTTCCTGTTACTCCAACTTCTGCTTACAGAATTTCCAGTGCTAAGTAATTGTAAAACTTGATGACTAGAATGTTTTAGAATTTAATAAAGATACATGCTTTAATGGGTTTCTTTACTCAGCCATCATTTTTATAATTGAAATAAAAAAACCTTTATTCATCCTATGAGTTTTCTCATTTGGTCATCCATGATTAAGATGAGTAAAATGTTCCCAAAGAAGCAATTCAGCATAAGCTGCCCACACACTTCTGAAGGAATGAATGAATGAAAAAAAAAATTTAAAAATAAAAAGATCAATCAGAAACTGGCAAGGAATCCTGTGCTTGGACAGCAATTGGAGTCTTGCATCCCTAAACCTGCATCCTTAAGTGATTTCATCTGTCTACAAGGGTTTATTTATCACTTATTTTTGACAAGTTTCAGTCATCTTTGTCCATGCTGCTGCTGCTTTTTGCCTCCATTTAATCACACATCTTTTAGAGGTTCTCGGACCTTTAATCTTGGTTGGCTCACTACCTTCAAGCATTTGGCTTGACCAAAATGGATTTTATTTTTCTGCAATCATGCTCTTCATTTTCCCTTCCTCTGTTACAGTGGTGAACATCACTGTCTCTTCTCCATCCCCACGGCTCAAACACCCTGGTAAGGTCAGTTTTGACTGTTCTCTCCTCTGCTTGAAGATAATTGTCAAATATTGTTGTCTTTCCCCACCCTACAAATCTATTCCTTCCTTTTTAGTCAAATATTTGGATTTTTCTTCTGTATCTTTTTTCACCTCTTTTGGGTCCATCCTACACAATTTTTTCCCTTTTCCCCACTTCAAAATGCTTGCTGCCAAAACTGTTATTTGCCTTTCTTTTCTTACATAGATGCAGTGGAAATCATGACCATCTAAAACTTTGGGTATTCAACATTTAAATAACAGAGCATTGAAGATAAGCTGCAAAAATAAATCAAAGCAATAGTACCTCTTCCTACATTCTCTCAGACACTTAAGCATGTGCACATCTTACATTACCCCTTAGCAATTTTCTCTTCATTCCTCTGACTGGAGCCAAGCTGAGTTGGTGAGAATTCTTTAGGCACTCACATTGAAAATACTGGTGTTTTCTGCAGATACAACCCAAATAATTAAGAGAGCAGGCAGTAACACACTGAAATAAAGGATGAAGAAATAACTTGGAAGAAGAATGAAAAAAAACAAACCTCCAGAAGGGCTGAAGCCACTTATTTTTTATTATTATTTCTTCTGTATTCTGACAAACTTGGTAAGATTTGGATACAGGATGGTGGCATTGACACAGGTTATTAATGAGCTCCATCAGCCTAAATTCCTCATCTGTTTAGATCTTATCAATGTTCTTAAAAATCTATGGGCAGCTATTAAGATGAATTCAACAAGAAAGACATCTGAAGTTAGAAACATGTGGCACAGAAATTGTAATGGGCCAGGAATGCTTCTGTTATTCCTAAAATTGCTTGTAAAATAGTAGTAACGTAGTAACAAAACCAGCGTGAATGGAAACAAATCTGGGTTTGTTTATGAAGTGTCTTGCCAAGAATGCCCCATGGCGCAGCGGCACTGCTCTGTGACCTCTGCCTTACCGATCCTGGCCTGTTCTGCAGCTCAAGCCCTCGCTCCTGAGCCAGCATCCCACTAAATAGCAGCAATATTTGCACATTGTATGTGTGATCTCCGTGCTGCCCGGTCACACGGGCCGGGGACAGTCACACACGCGAGGGCAGGGCCCCTTTCCTGGCGCGGCAGGGAGCCGGGCCAGCGCGGGGATCGCGGGCACCGCACCCGGAGCCGCCACAGACCCGCACGGGGCATCTGCCAGGGGGAATCCCTGCGGGCTCCGCCGGCCCGGGGCTCCCCGAGCCCGGGGAAACACATCTCCAAACCGCGCCTCTGAGATTCTAGAGAGGAGCGGAATCTCCTGACAAGGAGCAGAGAGCTGCCGCTGCCTCCCCCGGCGTGCGGAGCGTTCCGGCGCTGCACAGATCAAACTCTGCATTGTTCCAGGGGAAAGAAAAAAAAAAAAAAAGAAAAAAAAAGAAGCGCTCCTGACGCGGGGGGCGGAGCCTGCTCGGGCCAATGCTCGGCGGCGGGACCGGGCCGGCAGGAGGAAGCGGCGGCGGCAGCGGGGCCGATGCGGGTGGCGGCGGAGCCGGGGGCGCGCCCGGGCGCGGCGACAGCGACAGCCCCGGCGGGCAGCGGCTCGTGGCTGCTGGCGCTGGCGGCGCCGCTGGCGCTGCTGCTGGCGCTGGTGGTGCGGCAGCTGCTGAAGCAGCGGCGGCCGCCCGGCTTCCCGCCCGGCCCCGCGGGGCTGCCGCTGCTCGGCAACATCCCCGCGCTGGGCGCCGAGCAGCCGCACGTCTACCTGCGGCGGCAGAGCCTGATCCACGGGCAGGTACCGCCGCCCCGGGGCCCGCGGGGGCGGGGAGGGCCGGCCCGGGCTCGGGGAACCCGCCGCGAGCTGCCGCCCCGGCACGGACCGGGAACCGACCGGGAGCTGCCGCCCTGCCCGGCCCGGCGGATGCGGCGGGCGGAGCGCTCCCGCTCCCGGCAGAACCGCGCCTCTAAGTACCTTCAGCGCGATATTTGAGATACCTACAGCCCCTCAGACGAACTGCTTAAAAACTAATCCTTTCCTTTGTCCTTTTTCTTCTTTTTCTCCCTTTTTTACTTTCTTCTATATCGGGCATTTCTTTCCATCAGCCAGTCTTAAGCAGCCAGCCTCCACTTACAAGCTTCATAAGACTTAACTCCCAACTAGATTTAATATGTATTTTGGTAATTAAAAAAAAAACAAAAAAAAAAAAGAGTAAATGTTCTTCAAGCAAAGTACTGGGACAAGTAGAATGGAACTAGGAAGGAAAGTGTGCTGTCGAATAAAGCAAGCTTTCTACTTGCCTGGAATGCTGTATGGAGTTTCAGGCATCTGTTCTCAGAAAGAATCCTGCAGAATTTGAGGGAAACAGCATGTTACGATTTGGGGGACTCTGGAAAAATACAGTCAAAGGGGTTTTTTAAAAAAAAATAATCATCTATGATATAGGAATAAAGACCAATAAGTTAGACCAAAGTGCACAAAACTCACAGATGGTTTGCAGAAATAGACCAGGAGTGTCTTCTTGACACATAAAAAAGAGCCATTATAACAGTGAAAATACCAAGTTTTCTAAAATAAAATAGACTCACAGAATCATTTAGGTTGGAAAAGACCAAGATCATTGAGTCCAGCTGTTAACCCAGTATTGCCATGTCCCCAAATGCCACATCTGCACAGCTTTTAAATGCCTCCAGGGGTGACGGCTCCACCACTTCCCCAGGCAGCCTTTTCCACTGCCTAACACCCCCTTGGGTGACAACCCAATTGTCACAGAATGTATAATTCGGCTAACACAATTTCATATTGTGGAGGTCACCAGCTTTGACATGGAGAAAAATCTAAAAATTTGTAATGGTAAAAATACAGATTTCTAACACCAAGGGAATGTATGGAAAGGGATCTACAGATTCAATCTTAAGTTTAGGCTCAGTTTTAATTTTTAAAATGTAGACTCAAATTTTTTTAATTCCCTATGTGCTGTATTGTACCTTTCTCCAAAGCACCTTGTGCTAACCACTTGTGGAAAAGGACACTGGGCCTAGCTGGGCTCTGCTCTCAGTTGTTGGCTCTCACTCCTCTCTGGGGACTACATGAAGGTGTCCCCAGTCCTTAATTTGGGGGGCTGGTTTCTTTGGGTGCACAGCAAAGCACAGAATGTAGTGTGAGCTAATTAATTTTATCTTTTAACAAAGTAAATGAGCTTACCACAGACTCTGTTGAGTAATGCAACAGCTGTCCCACCTCTGGCCACCCGTGTGCCCAGCTGAAGGTTATTCAACTCTGCATTCCACATTGACGTTTAGCGTCATTTCACTTTTTCATTCCTTGTTCCAGATTGGGTTGTAATAGCATTTGACACTTTTTGTTCCTCTTTTTTCCCCCCCAAAGATCTTCAGCCTTGACCTCGGGGGAATATCTGCCGTTGTGCTGAATGGCTACGATGCAGTGAAGGAATGCCTTGTCCACCAAAGTGAAATTTTTGCAGACAGGCCATCTCTTCCCTTGTTCAAGAAACTGACAAACATGGGAGGTGAGTGCTAATGTCTTTTGTATAAAAATGTAATTTTTGCCCCATAGATGACATGAAGCATCTGCTTTAGCCATTTTGTCTACTTGATGTCCTTTCATAAAATACTTGATGCTTCTTTAAAGATATTATTGTCACTCATGGACTATGCTCCATAGCAGGACGTCCAAAATATTTTATCTCCTTTTTTGTCTTGTTGAATAATTTTATTATCTTATGGGGGAAGAAAAATAAAGCATTGCATAAAACACTGTGTCAAAATATTTTTTCAGGCTTACTGAACAGTAAATATGGCAGAGGATGGACAGAACACCGCAAATTAGCTGTAAATACCTTTCGAGTTTTTGGATATGGCCAAAAGTCCTTTGAACACAAAATTTCAGAAGAATCTTTGTTTTTTCTTGAGGCCATTGATACATACAAAGGCAGACCCCTTGACCTTAAGCACTTGATAACAAATGCTGTTTCAAACATTACTAATTTGATTATTTTTGGAGAACGTTTCACGTACGAAGATACTGAATTTCAGCACATGATTGAGATTTTTAGTGAAAACATTGAATTAGCTGCTAGTGCTTCTGTATTTTTATATAATGCTTTTCCTTGGATTGGTATCTTGCCATTTGGGAAACACCAGCAGCTGTTCAAAAATGCAGCTGAAGTCTATGAGTTTCTTCATGAGCTTATTGAACGTGTCTCTGAAAATAGGAAGCCTCAGTCACCTCGACATTTCGTAGATGCATATTTAGATGAGATGGATTGCAATGGAAACGACCCAGAATCTACATATTCAAGAGAAAATTTAATTTTCTCCGTTGGAGAGCTCATCATAGCTGGCACAGAAACCACAACAAATGTTTTAAGATGGGCAGTGTTATTTATGGCTCTTTATCCAAACATTCAAGGTAAGAATTTTGACATTTTGAGGAACTGATTCACTTTACTATTGCAAATTTAAAATGGTTTTTCAAAGTGGTGCATTGATCCATAATGATCACCAAAAAAAAGCTTTGTATATACTATTCTAGTCTGTCATTTACTAAATAAACTACGGACAGAGGTGGAAAACTTATTTTAAATGCAGTCAAAGAGGATATCAAAAGTCAAATGTAATGATAAAATTTTAACATATTATTTTGTGAATACGCTTTTATGAAGCTTTAATACTTTTAAGTATTTCTAATATATCTAGATTTAGCATTGTGATGCATGATCTGTTGTTGGCAGATATACTAATCTATGCAGTTAATAAATAATAAGGGAATGTAATTAAATATGAAAGTAATAAACTAAATTAAAAATGTACAGGTGTCAGCAAAAATGTAAATCAGGTTGTGGTTAACAATTTAGGTACAATTCTTTTTATGTTAAGTTCTCCAGTTACAGATTTAAATCACAACAGATTTACATGTGACAGACAGGAATACTTACACTTTTGGAAGAACAGAAATGGCATTTGAAAATAAAAAGATGTGTTACAGTCATTTTGAAGTAAGACAGCAATAGGAGTCTGAGTGTTAGCCCAGACACTGTGAGGAGAAGTTTGGATTCCAGAAGTGAAGAGTCACATTTCTGGTTTCACTGCCTCCACTTCACTTTTCCTGCCAAACCCTTAGCAGTGCTTGGTACAGCTGGAGCTTCCAGGATTTGGAGGGAGAGAGGCCCAGATAACTTAGAAAGTTACTGCTGGTACTTTGACCAAAAAATATCACTCTAATATCAATTTCACCATTTCGTATAAAGGTATATAATGTTTCTGTTTTTTTAAAAAATGTATGTATATACACAAATACTTCAGCTTAAATTGGAATGTAAAACCTATTACAAAATAAACCTCAGCTTTTATTCCTAACAGGGCAAGTTCAGAAAGAAATTGATGTTGTCGTTGGCCCAAACAAAATGCCCACCCTGGAGGAGAAGTGCAAGATGCCCTACACTGAGGCTGTTCTGCACGAGGTGCTGAGGTTCTGTAACATTGTCCCACTGGGGATTTTCCATGCAACTTCCAAGGACACTGTTGTGCGTGGGTACACCATTCCTGGAGGCACCACGGTCATTACCAACCTCTACTCTGTTCACTTTGATGAAAAATACTGGAGCAATCCAGAAGTGTTTTTTCCTGAGAGGTTTTTGGACAGTAACGGGCAGTTTGTCAAGAAAGATGCGTTTATTCCTTTTTCCCTAGGTAAGAGCAATTCCTTCCACTGTTCCTTGTCACAAATCCAGGGAGGTGTAAAGTGTTAAGGGGTGGAAATAAATGGACAGAATGATATCCTCAGTTCTGATTTAAAGATATCCAATATAATTCAATTCGAAGATATTCAATATAATGCACTCTGGAGATAACAAATTTTAGCATAATGTCTTCTATATAGATGAGCTCAGTTTATACATAAACTAATAAAAATCCTCCTTACAAAGTTCCAATAATTGCCAGTTAATAATGACTAGCAGTAGATATAATTAAGAAAATAGTAGGGGGAAAAAGATAAAATTCACAATACCATTTTTTAAAGCATTTCCACCTAGATTGGCACGTCAAGACCAGATACAGTAAGTATCAAGTGTATCTAAATCAATTTGACAGAATTGGTTTCAATGGCACTTGTGAGCAACAAATTCTCTAAAATCAGTTTCTTAGTGTAAGTTCTGACCTATCCTTCTTACGAAATACTGCCAGGAGGTTCACACAGCACTCCTAGAACACAGAAATGACCATTCCTGTTCACCTTCAAGGCAAAATGTGACTGGAGATACCTTAAACCTTTTCAAAACCTTTTTTCCCAATTCAGGAAGAAGACACTGCCTTGGAGAACAGCTGGCTCGAATGGAGATGTTTATTTTCTTCACCTCGTTGCTGCAGAGGTTCCACCTGCACTTCCCGCACGGAGTGATCCCGGAGCTGAAGCCCAGGCTGGGGATGACCCTGCAGCCACAGCCGTACCTGGTGTGCGCCCAGAGGCGCTGAAGGGCAGCACAGTGCCCCAGGATGCAGCTCAGGATCCACTTTGCCTTCCATTCCTAAACCTGTTCAAGCCAGAATAACAACAATTTAAAGGACTGCTAGTTTCTTTTTACTTGATTTTTACAGGAAAAAAAAAAAAAAAACTGAACCAAAGGTGTGGAACACATCCTGATGTTTTCACTCCAGAAGACTGTGTTGACTCTAACTTCTGAGACGGATTTTAAATATTTAATTACTTAGCAAGCCATTGTACTTTGAGAGGGTATTTTCATAAGCATGGAGAATATGGTTCAAAATGCTTGAATTCATCATTTACATTATTCCAGCTAAGCCATTCTTTATAATTATCCATTAAATTTTCATAGCTAAAGGGATTTTAAAAGGTATCTATTTAAATACCTGAAACCAAGAATAAAATATATTTTCCAGCCTTGAAAAACAGATTGTCTTTTAAAACATTTTATCCTTCTTTTTCCTTGCCCGGTCTTCACAGTTGGTCATAATTTTCTAGTGAATCAGATAACAATGAATTCACTTTTAGGCCCTTTTATGGCTTGCTTCTCACTTAGCATCATACACACAGTGTTCAGTTATTGCCATACTCCTGACAATCACAGGGATTTTTTTCCTGCAGTATATTGCATTTCCAGATCACTGTCCTCTGCTGCCTCCCAATACAAAGTACTATGTAATGATTAATCTCTGCTTAAATAGTCTGAAAAAAACACTATTTGTGTTACCAGAGTCATATGCAATCACACTACGAGTAAAGAAAATAAACTGCTCACCCTTCTGACCAGAGGTGAGACTTTCTGGGGAGGGCAAGTCCAATAGGATGGGGAGAAACAGATTATAAATCAATTTTAAGCACAAAATTTAGGTGTAAGGGCTACACTTGACTCCTGCCAGCTTCATTGATTATTCTTGCCAGCTCTTGGTGGTTATTGGTAGATAAAGATTTGTATCTGCAGACCTTGCAGGAGCAGCTCGAACTCCAAACACAGAATTTAGTCCCCTCTGTGTGGGCAGAGCGGGCCTCAGGACAGGGTTCAGAACAAAACAAGCAAGCAGCTATTGAAGGCCAGGGCTGAGTGTTTGACCTGGCTTTTTACACAGATAGTGCTGCAACTCGGAGCTGCAGGAGAGCTGAAAGGCAGGAATTGGTGTTTGTCTGGTGACCTGATGTTTGCAGCTTATGCTGAGGAGAAATACTTCCTTTCTTTTGAAAGAGCAAAAGAGAAAAAGCAAAGAGAGCTAATGCCAGTCTGTGACGGTGTTCACAGGGGTCTGAGGATGAGGGAAGAGACGAGGATCTGACTCCATGTTTCAGAAGGCTTGATTTATTATTTTATTATATATATTAAACTATACTAAAAGAATAGAAGAAAGGATTTCATCAGAAGGCTAGCTAAGAATAGAAGAGCAAAGAATGATAACAAAGGCTTGTGGCTCGGGCTCTCTGTCTGAGTCAGCTGAGTGTGATTGGCCATTAATTAGAAACAACCACATGAGACCAATCAAAGATCTACTTGTTGCATTCTACAGCAGCAGATAACCATTGATTACATTTTGTTCCTGAGGCCTCTCAGCTTCTCAAGAAGAAAAATCTTAATGAAAGGATATTTCATAAAAGATGTCTGCGACACCAGTCCACTCACATAACAACCTGTTGACTTCAGGCGCAGCAGGTCCAGATTATTTTACCCACACAGAGCAGCTCTAACACAAGTTCCTGTTTCTCTGAAGAGGCTGGGCAGGCTACTCCACTTCCTGAAAAAGCGCCTTTTGTAGACAAGATTTAAAACTCAAAAAAGAGAGAAAGGAGGCAGAACTGATTGCTGTGCATTGGGCACACCGTGAAAACTGAATAAATCCATGAAAACTGAATAAACCACCCCTAAGGCATTGGCAAACAGTGGGGTTAGGAGTCATGATCAAGGTTTTTCTGGATACCAGGCAGATGTCATGTGTTTGTGGAATGCCTGAGGAGAAATTGTGGAATGCACTGAACTTAGGTGCCTTCAGCATGAAGCAGCCCTGAGGAGTTCAGCTCTAGTTTTGGACTCGTGGCAATTCCTCCTGTTCCCAACCCTGTGCTCTCAGAGCACAGCCAGAGTTTGTGTAGTACCTAGTCCTGCTTTCTGGGTGGCAAGAACTCCAGGCCATCCTTTATTACAACATGGCACAAATAATGCTAATTGAAGTGGGGGGGGAGGATTTAAAACCATCAAGAACCAGTTCCTGTAGGGACCCATGCTCAAAATGCAGCTGACCAGTTATAATTCCCTTTTGCTGAGGTATTTTGAGATCTAACTCCTGGCTAGTCTTTAATCCATTTAATGAGAACCATATTGATTATATGTCATTCTGGTTTCTAAATCAAAATGCCTTATAAAAGCCTCAGAATATCAATCCAAACTTTTACCATTATCTGCCAACTTATGGTCTCATTTAAGCAATCAAATATGTTTGACAAACTGTCTTTTCTCTAAATCTGTATCAGTATTAGTCATATTTACATGTTTCATTCTCTATCAGCTTTTTTATTATTTTCCCTCTGACGTAGAATTATTCTAATGATCCAATTTAATAACTTGAAATATTGACATAACAGTAGTTTTTTCTAGTCCTCCAGAATTCCTCCACTGTATCAACATTGATTACAGCAGCCAGCCAGATGTTCAGAATTTCCTGGTGGGATGTTCAGATAATTCCAGCTGAAATATCTAGGACAGATAGCAGCTGGCTGCTATTTAACATTGTTTGGGGATTAAAGGTTGATATATTAACCAGTGTATCTTCACAACACTGCTGCAAGAGCTGCAGTCAGAACCACCATCATGTCTGAAATCCTCCTTTCCAAATCTTGGTCCTCATATTTAAATTTTTGGTTGTTTTTGGCCATGTCAGCAACCCCAGAGACTGAAAAGGGAACACTACAAGCATGTCATATATGACACTGAAAAAATGCTGAATAAAAATCTCACTCATTAGCACTGAATTTCCTGAACTTCCAGCAGTTTCAGTGGTACTGATGAACACATCCTTAGTATGAACCTAATAAATGCAGGAAGGTTCATTAATTAATTAATTCAGAAACCCCCTATTCAAAGGAAGTTTTCATAAAAGTTCAAGGAACATAAAGGTTCAATAACTAAAGTAAATAGCATAAATTTACTGAGATATATTTTTATATGTATCCAGGATGTGTTTAGCCGGAATTGAGCTTAAGGGTTTGTGCAAGCACTAGAGAGGAGATGAGGCAGATTATGAGATTATGTTGTCATGAAGAGAACAAGTTCATGAGAAAAACAGCAAGCTCAGAGAAAAACACAGTAAAAAGTAGGGAAATCCCCTCGAAAAATGAGTGAAAATTAGGTTGTGTAAATTTCATTATAATGCATTAGATATGAAAACATAAAGATTCAGGCTAAATGGGGGGGGGGGGGGGGGGAATCATAATGGGGAAGATGCCAGATCAGAATTTGTTCTTGGTTGAGAGAGAGGGACTGATGAAAACACAAGATAGCATGGCCAAGATCAGAGGATCAGTAAGAGTTTGAAAAGAACTCAATATTCCCAGTATAAATTGCTCTGTGAAGGTGCACACAGAAGGTTGGGGTGTGTTCTCATACCAATAAGTTGTCCCAGGTGTTTTTCTGGCACTGGGCCTGATAATTCAAACCCTCTGTCTAATCGAGACCAAATTAAACTACGGCTCTGGAAATCTTCTGCCTTCTTCTGTCCTTTCACAACAATGTAAATTGGGCATCAGCACATTCTCCCTATTCTAGATTATCTTTTCAGGCATTTTTGAAGGCTGTCAGCTCTGTCCATGTCATTGGAGGTAGGCAGGACCCAAATTCAGTGTGGTTATTCCTTAGGAGGACTACCAGGCTTCAGGAGATGCTACATTTGTTACATTCTTCCGAATAAGTAACATCCCAAATAGATTAAACCCATTAAAATAATGGGAGCACATCAGGAATGTGCAATCTAATCCAATATCTTGCTATTACTGCAGCAGATGGCTGCTTGCCAAAATTTTTACATGTGATGTAGACTGGCCTATAGCAACATTCTAGAAAACAGAATGAAGTTACTGTTTATTCTACTGCTGTTTTCAAGCAATTACTTCCTTTTCTACACTCATGTAAAAAAAAATTAAAGGAAATATTTTTAATTTGTGTACGATTTATCAGAAGCATGAAAAAACTATTATGTATTAAAAAGTTTTTTATATTATAGTTAATTTGTTCAGATGCTTATCCACATCAGGCCCACCAGTATCCAGACAAGAGGATCCACCCATCCATGTCTCAGACATTTATACTCTCACCAAAACAAGGGGATAAAGGATGCCTCATTGTTCAGGTCCCTCACTAATATAGGTAATACAGGTACAGCTTCATACCAGCAAGGAATGAAAGTTAGGAAACAGAATCCCTATGGATAAAGCATCTGAAGGAATTCCAGTTATTCTAAGGTAATTAAGTTTTCTTTCTCCACAGGCATCCTCATTTAAGGAGTCAAAATGCCCCTTTGGTTCTCTTCAACTTATACAATAAGCTCATTTAAAATATTAACAATAACACTAATAATATTTATAATACTACTACTACTACTAATAATAATAATAATAGTGCTGAACATGCACCACAGCAGAATTTTATAAGTCTAATTTTTCCAGGAAAAACATTTGTACTTGCAATACCTCTTTATCTGATATAGATTAGGAAGCTAATTTAATTTCTTTTTTTTTTTTTGGAAGCATAAAAAATGCTTTATAAAGCCACTTCAGGGCATTTTCAGATCTTCTTCTATTTTATTTTATATTATGTAAAGATGCACCATTTCTCTCTCAAGGAATGTACAGTCTAAACTGCCACACTATAGAAAGAAATGCAACATAGCTTAATATTGCATTTACTTCACCACAAATTGTAGGTGTAATCTATAAAATGCTCTTTGTGCCATAATGAACTTCATGATGACATAGAGAC